CACACACACACACACACACACACACACACACACACACACACACACACGCTCCCAGAAATAGCCCCCTTGGCTGTTTTCATTAGGCTGCCTCATCTTGTGAGGCTCTCTGGATCCAAACCATTATTTCTGAGGCTACCATTGACTCTCCATCTGACTCCCTGTTCAGAAAATGGAAAGAAACTTCTGGGAATCTTTTAAATGCTCCACCACAATACATCCTTGTTCTTTTTTCTTTTGCCTGTATGGTATGAAAGCACTACATGTGTACTTGGAAACTAAGAGATGATCTATTCTAGTCACTTTTGAAAGAAGAAATAACACAATCATCACAAATGAAAAGAAAGTGAAAAACACTCTTGCTCAATTTGCTGTTCGGCTACAGCCTTACTTGTTGTGGTATGACCAGTAGAAACTATTCTCTCTTCCTAATGTTACACTACATTTTATAACATATCACAGACGAAAATGATCACAAAAGAAAAACAGGAAGTAAACACGCTGGCATCATCATTAGGGTACCTCAAGTAAACAGGAAAATGTACACGGTCTCACTTTAAAGTGTTTTTTGTCGAGAAGTAAAATAACAATGTAGTGAATGACGTCCAGAGAACTGGAAGGGCACTTGGAGAGTGAGTGCAGACCTCAGAGGCTGTTTACATAAGAGAAAATCGGGTGTATATTCGCCCCCGGATTTGTATCTCCCATGGACCATTGCTGCACCCTGCCTAGTTGTTCTGTAATGCTGCTGACAAACCAACAAGCAAAACCAATAACGTAACCGCGTTGGCGGAGGTAACTATAACCTGAATCTGCAGCTCCCCTCTAGCTCATTGATTCGCTGTCTGACCCACAACTTCAATGTTTGTGTTGCTGTTGACATTTATGACACACATATGTTTTGGACTGTTCAACTGAGAGGATTGTTCAGGACAATAAGCAATTCATAACACAAACATATACACAGTTTCTGCAGTAAAAAAAGCCCAGTGTTCTCCTGATTCCACTTTTTGATGCCACATGTGTATTGATACATCAACATGAGGCAGGTATCATGCCTATTTCAGCGATAATGGTTGTATGCTACCTCTTTGACAGGCTGAGGGGTTGATTCAGACGGCTTGTTCCAGAAAGCCTCGGAACAATTTTCAGAATGCTTTTTGGATTGTTGCTTCAGTGGAAGAAACTGCATTGGACCTGTGTGCTTTTACACAAATAAATGTTTCATCCAAATGCCAAGTGTACTCTTAAGTGCTTTCTATTTCGAGCATTGCCATAATGACTAACATTCTCCACTCATGGCTCTCTTCTTGGCACATAGCGGTTATTTTTCCTGTGTGTGTGTGTGTGTGTGTGTGTGTATAAGGAACAGTAAATAAAATAAATGCAAATAATGCATTTGGATGAAACATTTATTTGTGTAAAAGCACACAGGTCCAATGCAGTTTCTTCCACTGAAGCAACAATCCAAAAAGCATTCTGAAAATTGTTCCGAGGCTTTCTGGAACAAGCCGTCTGAATCAACCCCTCAGCCTGTCAAAGAGGTAGCATACAACCATTATCGCTGAAATAGGCATGATACCTGCCTCATGTTGATGTATCAATACACATGTGGCATCAAAAAGTGGAATCAGGAGAACACTGGGCTTTTTTTACTGCAGAAACTGTGTATATGTTTGTGTTATGAATTGCTTATTGTCCTGAACAATCCTCTCAGTTGAACAGTCCAAAAAATATGTGTGTCATAAATGTCAACAGCAACACAAACATTGAAGTTGTGGGTCAGACAGCGAATCAATGAGCCAGAGGGGAGCTGCAGATTCAGGTTATAGTTACCTCCGCCAACGCGGTTACGTTATTGGTTTTGCTTGTTGGTTCGTCAGCAGCATTACAGAACAACTAGGCAGGGTGCAGCAATGGTCCATGGGAGATACAAATCCGGGGGCGAATATACACCCGATTTTCTCTTATGTAAACAGCCTCTGAGGTCTGCACTCACTCTCCAAGTGCCCTTCCAGTTCTCTGGACGTCATTCACTACATTGTTATTTTACTTCTCGACAAAAAACACTTTAAAGTGAGACCGTGTACATTTTCCTGTTTACTTGAGGTACCCTAATGATGATGCCAGCGTGTTTACTTCCTGTTTTTCTTTTGTGATCATTTTCGTCTGTGATATGTTATAAAATGTAGTGTAACATTAGGAAGAGAGAATAGTTTCTACTGGTCATACCACAACAAGTAAGGCTGTAGCCGAACAGCAAATTGAGCAAGAGTGTTTTTCACTTTCTTTTCATTTGTGATGATTGTGTTATTTCTTCTTTCAAAAGTGACTAGAATAGATCATCTCTTAGTTTCCAAGTACACATGTAGTGCTTTCATACCATACAGGCAAAAGAAAAAAGAACAAGGATGTATTGTGGTGGAGCATTTAAAAGATTTCCAGAAGTTTCTTTCCATTTTCTGAACAGGGAGTCAGATGGAGAGTCAATGGTAGCCTCAGAAATAATGGTTTGGATCCAGAGAGCCTCACAAGATGAGGCAGCCTAATGAAAACAGCCAAGGGGGCTATTTCTGGGAGCGTGTGTGTGTGTGTGTGTGTGTGTGTGTGTGTGTGTGTGTGTGTGTGTGTGTAACACGCATGACTTCTGCTTCTGGCGTATTGACAATATATCAAAATGCTGAAAGCATCAGAAAGATGGAAAAAAAAAAAAGAGATTGTGCTTTGTGTGCGTTGCTCTTTTTCTTGAGTTACACGTTTTTAATTAGTTTCATGTTTTGATATCCTTTGCAGCAGCTTCATCAGTATTTAAATCCAAAGAAGACATTTAAAAGATAATTGTTGTGATAATGACTGTGCTGAAAATGTCAACTGCTTCAATGGTGAGTTTTACTAGACTTATAAATTACTAGAATTGTAACTACAGCCAGAGAACCAAAGCAATCTCTCACATCTTAACCCCCCAAAAAGGTGAAGAGTTTCTCAATTTAAAGTTTTTTTTTAACCAGGATTTATCTGAGGGGATGGAAACTATTTGAGATACACACCTGGGTCAGTGGTGACAGAACCTTTGCCATTTTTCACATCGACAACCCAAGTCCCCTCTTTCCCATCTGGTCCATCCTTCACTTTAAAGGCAAACACTCCGCCGATCTTCTTGACAAGCTGCTCTCCGTCCTGCAGGGAGTTCAGAAGGCGTTAGATTTGACACGCAGTAGTTGTAGGCGAGATGTATTTGCTACTTGGGTCAAATGATCATGCCTCTTACGACTGAATTTTGACAGAAAAAAAAAAAAGTGTGTCTCTGCCAAAAAACAATCTCTAAAATATTCTGTGGACACAGTCACCCAATGCTGCAGAACCACCCACATTTTAGATTCCTTCAGTGGTCAAATTGTGGAAGGAACTTCTTCAAACAACCCGAGCTATTCTGGGTAAGAACGTCCCGATAGTCATCTGAAATCATGTCAGCTCTTGAGAAATGTGACCAACACTTGCAACAACTAATCACACTGAACTCTCTTGCATTTGTTCAGAGCCACAGATTCTAATAATCCCCCAGTGAGCAGCACACCGATTACTCAACCTAACATTGGAAAGTGAGCGAGGGTTGAACATGCAGAACGAGAAGAAGTAGCGAGTAAATTTCAAACTAATAAGAACACGTGTTGTTTTAGTTATCACACAAAAGGACTTAAAGCTTAAGATGTGAGGTGGATGTTGTTGGTGACAGTGTGCCGGTATACCTCCTGTAGACGCTTTTCTATCTCTTTGAAGACAGGGTATGCTTTAAACCCCTCCAGACCGCTGGCTGAGCTGGTGGGCACCGCACCTACGTGGGAACTGTGGAAAGCAGGTAAAAAAAAAAAAAATGCGAGGCTGTATAAATTTCAATCTCGATGTTATATTGCACAATAGAAACGGTGGATAAAGAAATGTAGTGTATCGAGAGCCCAAATGATGAAGAGAAGAGCTGTAATTGTTATAGAATATAGAAACGGATATCCCATGCATTATGCCTCTGGCGTATTAATCAGCAGATCATCTGTCTTTTTGAGACTGCAAAAATTGATTGCTAATAAAATAAATACTACATAAAGAATCTAAACTAGAAACTACTTCCTCACCTGGACTCCTGAGGGAATCCCAGCCTGTAGAGAGCGACAACGACAGCGCCTCCTAAGCCAATGTTGTGTTGCAAGGCCACTTTAGCCCCCGGGACCTGTCTCCTGTCCGCCCGCCCTCGGAGCTGCCAGCACAGCTCTGCACACTGGGCCAGACCTAAGAGAGGACAAGGAGGCAGAGAAGGAAACGAGGGTGACGCGACTCGTACGGGGAGATGTGGTGTAGGCTGCCAATGGAATGTGTGATTATTGAAGCTGTAAATGGCTGAAAATGTATCATCACACGTCCCCAACTGAGAGAGAGGTACATTAAACAAAGTGAGAAAGACAACAAATAACAGGTGTATTTGTTGGACAGAACAAAAAGCCCCTCAAATTTACTATATGACTATAAAGCAAGCAAGCAAGCTCTCTCTGTCTGTCTGTCTGTCTGAGGGTCGGCCTGTCTGTCTGTGGGTCGGCCCGTCTGTCTGTGGGGGGGGGGGTCAGCCCATCTGTGGGTCTTGTTTATACGTGCGGTTCTCGAGAGAGGTGCAAGTAACAGCACCACAGGTCAAGCATTCAGCCCATTCCTTACAGCCATGTTTTGTACGGACACTGCACTAGTGTCATGAAACACATTTCTTTTTAGTCGCTGGTGTTTTGACAACTTGAGCGCAGCAGAAACCATATGAAGCTAAAAGGGCAAACAGTTGCTTAGTTACACATCCGGCAGACACAAGGCAAAATTTGCATTAATTTAGAGTGGTGTTACTAGTGGCCGACAATTTCAAACTCTTTTCAGCTCTCTTGTCGGTGTCATTTAGCTGTCACAAATCGGTCTCTTTTAGACAGCTAAATGCTCCACTTTGTTCACCAGTTAATTGTTAACACTGTTAATGAGAGAAGTGAGAGTGAAGAGTAAATTTGCCGACTCCAAAACCAACACAATGAGCTGCTGACGGACGCTAAAATTCTCTGTGGAGCTGAGGGGAAGTGCAGAGTTAGAGGTTGTGCGTTTGTCACTACAAGCGTCCTAGTTCCCATCACACAGTCACTGGATCCAATGTAAATACAAAATATTGAACTTAAAATGTCTAGTCAGTAGCAGAACACTCATACCAGTGCCATAACAAAGAGGCGGAGTGTTAAACACAATATCTTCACAGAGGGGTGATAATGACTCCTTAATCTCGACAGGGACAGCTCCTGCGCTAGCGTTACAGCTAAGTATTTCATCCCTTCTCCGTAATGAGCTTTCGCATTTCTCGATTATGCCATTAAGCTAAAGGGCTTACGGGTTAAGACTTCTTCACGGTGCGTCTCTTACATCCTGCAGCACTCTCCTAATCTTCTCCACGTGGACTTGTTGGTGTCAGAGCAATTTTCTCTAAATGCTAATTGGAAAATGTATTGCAGGCTGACTTAACCAAATAAAGAGCCTCTGGATATCGCCTTAGATGTTGTTTATACATAATGAAAAAGGAACGTTCAGAAATCGTCTTCTTCTAAAGAGAGAAAATCACAAGTCCTTTCAGCTTATTGAACTCTGAAGGGGAATACGTGGTCATTTACTACATACACACTTGTCTCTGGATGTCAGTTCAACACGTAAACATCTCTTCTTCCTGAGGTGGGGCTCTTTGCACGAGTGAGTGAATTAGCCGTCTCTATTTCTGCTCACAGTGCTGCTCCCGAGGTGAGAGGTGACAATGAAGATTAGGAGCAACACCGCAGATCAGACGGAGCTTTAGCGCCGACCGGGGCACTCGAACACCGGGAGAGTGACCCAGGAGGTAGAGGGAGTATTGATGAGATGAACGGGAAAAGTCAATGCAAAAATAATGAGGGAGTGGGAGTGACGCTTGAGATCATGAGGTGTGAGGAAAGGGGGGGGGGAAATGGAGAGAAAGAAAAATAAACAATACAGAAAATAAATCAAAGAAAAGGGACAAATCTCATAATCTGTTTGAAATGAATGACAGAGAATACGACAAACGTTCACCCATCAGTGTGTGTATGTTTGAGTGCACACAAAGCTATGTCTAATATTAAACAGTATGGGCATGATAAATGTTGGACCTGCAGAATCAGCTGCACCGTTTAGAGTTCGACATGAGAGATTACAGCGGAGGCTTGCCAGAGCCTCAGTCTGCTGCCCTCTCACATGCAGGCTTACCCAGTTACAAGGTGCTCATCACTATGTGACACATGCCACCTAGCGGCCACTGTGGAGTGTTGTTTGGCAAAGTTTGAAGATTTACAGTGTGGCAAATCCCATTCATCCGCTGCTCCAAACAAGTCAGAAATAAACATTAGCTGCAAACGCTTTTAGACCCCCGACCTGGCATTTTCACTCCCTACCAGGCTGGATTATGTATTGTGTGCTTTGTCCTCCTATATGACAAGAGGCTTTCATCAAGAGGCAGAGGCTTGACCTACCTGTGGCACCCAGAGGATGTCCTTTAGAGATTAGACCTCCACTGGGGTTGACCACAAACTGGCCTCCATACGTGTTGTCCCCTCTGTCAATCAGCTCTCCTGCTTTACCTGGTTGTGAAAGACACGAGACGATCACAGAACAGAACAGCGTGAAGTTCACAGCATTATACTCTGACATGTTAATATGATATCATAAGTACATGCATGGTATTATCAACAAACAGACCTTTGTTTGTATATAGTCATGAAAAATGTGATTTATTAGTTAAAAAATTTTAAATTTCAAGTGAAGACAAAAGATGAGAGCAAACTATTTCAGAATATTTCATTTGTACGTGTCCTTTTGATAAGGAAGATGTAAGAAAGGGAAATCAAATAATAAGTTCCTAAACATAAATAAGAAATACTACAAACATAAAGTTTGTCTACCTCTAAACCCCAGGAAGGCTCCTTCATGCCTGAGAGATTCAACTTTATCTAATTTAACATTGCATAGGACAAGCCATCACATCTCTGCAGTCAAAGACAGGACCTTGTGAGTGTGCAAGTATCAAAGTGTACAATACATGTACATATTATAGGGTCAGTGAGGGAAGCTGAGCTGAGTTGACTCTAACTCTCTATGCAGTGACTCATTTGCTATGTCAATAAAGCTCATCAAACAATATGAGGGTTTTTTTTCATCCGCTGCATGTCTTACCCTCTGGACAGAGCCCCAGAGCCTCATACGTGATGAGCTCATTGGCTGAGAAGCAGTCGTGCAGCTCAACCACATCCACGTCACTGGGCTTCAGACCTGCAGCTTCATAACACTTTTTGGCAGCCGACCGAGACATGTCATATCCCACCTGAACAGAAATGTTTGATTCGTTAATTAGCAGGAATGTAGCCTTGCGCAACGTGAACGTGAAAATGGTCTGTTCTGTTTCAGGATTTTTTTCATGTGTGTATTGAAAAAAAAATGTCAACTTTGAGCCGTACTTAGATTTAGACTATTGAATAGTCAAATTGATATGATTTGGTTCAAAGATTAGGGAGCCCTTTCACTTTTAAAAATACTTTAGTTGAATAGTGCAAATGCAATAAAGTTGGCAAGTATCTCTCCATTATTTGGAGAAATTTGTCATCCACCTAACAAAGCACTATCAACCTTTAAATATTCAGTTTAATGTAGATCCATACAAGGGGAGAATGTTACAGAGACAGTGTGTTGTCATGAGACACTTCCATACCATCTTAATGCAGCTGTTTTCTTCAAACGTGGAGGCGAGGTCAGTCACCATCTCTTGGGCCACAATCTCCACTGCCTGCTTCTCCAGACGGTGTTTCCTGACGAAGGCTTCGCTGGCCAAAACTGCTGCTCCGGCACCATCTGACGTCGGGCTGAGGAGAGAAGAAGAGCGGGACGAGCTGACAATTGCCTTTGATCAAATACATAGAACCCCTGTCCTGACAGTTACACTCGAGGCCGGGCGATCAATGGATTTTCAAGAGATGACGGACACCAACTGTAAATCGACGGAGCTCTTACCAACACTGCAGCAGAGTAAGGAAGTCAAACACCTTCCGGGAGTTAATCACCTGCTCCAAGCTGTACTCATCCTGGAACTGGGAATACCTGCATGAATGTAGACACACATATTCACACACACACACACACACACACACACACTTGAATAAAGTATAAATTCAAGGATATTTTGAAGAGATTCTTTAAAGGGAACCCTTTCTTACGGGTTGTTGGTGGAATGCTTGTGGTTTTTCCAGGCAATTTTGGCAAAGTGTTCCGGTTTTGTGCCTGGAGGAGATTTAAACATTGACACAAACATTCACTGTAAATGATATAGTAAAACCATGACCTCAATGCAAGATACATCCATCACTGTCACATGTTGGACCGTGTGATTTTTTTTTGTAGCGTGTACCATATTTCTCCATGTGCTCCCTGCCAGCGTTACCGAACATCTGTGCGGCTGCTGGAGCTGCCACCATCCCGTAGCGGTTGATCATCACCTCCATGTGCTTGTCCATTGGATTGGTCCTGTCCATAAACTAGAAGCAGGAATTTCTTAAATTACATTTCACCTTGTAAAAAAAAAAAAAAACATTTTAAGAGAATTATGGCATAATCTGGTGAATTGGCATTTATACACCAACAAGCTAGAATTTCCAGAATGTTCAGAAAACAAATAAGCCATAAACATCTGGAATGAGCCAACACATCTGGAATGGCATATAACATATCAGTGCTTGTTTTGTTGATAATATATACTGATATATTTCCATCGTTTTTATGTTTTGGTGACAAGTCAAATTAATTTTGAATGCTCAGCCTTTTTGTGTTTGAAGTTTGCTTTTTAAAAAGGCAGATCTCTTTATTATATCTACCACTCGATCCCCTCTGCTCCCCTGTAACATGAATTCACTCAATAGCAATAAGTAGTTCATGAACACTGAGGCAGACACGCATTATCTCTTCATCAATAAAGTGCAGCCACGCTAATTTGTTGAGTCTGCTGTGATACGTTTTTTTAATTATATATCAATGAGCTGTATCCCTCTGAGGACGAGTGTGGAGATCAGCTGATATTCTCTGCTGCTCGCAAAAACTACGCAATTACGATAATGTGACGTATTATTTTGTCCATCTCCTCTAGATCCAATAAAACAACAAAAACAAAGCATACCGGTTTTTTTTTTTATACCTTTGAGGACAAAGAGCCCCTCTCCATCTTCTCAAAGCCGAGGGCCAGCACACAGTCGGCAAGACCTGCAAAAGGAGATGGGAAGTGCGGAGTTTACAGTTTCAGTTCAATAACAGATAATGGATTTAATCTGCACAAGTCGTTTAAGAAGTTTCTAATGGATATTGCAATACTTTTCTCTGGTTGCGTCATCATTAGACTCCACTGAAACCGTGTGAGCCTCCTTATTAAAAGTATAGATTTCGGGTGGTTTATCACTTTCAAGGCGTCCTGCTCTGCTCACCTCCCTTAACCAGCTGGCGAGCCATGAAGAGAGCAGTGGAGCCTGTGGAGCAGTTATTGTTGACGTTGATGATGGGGATCCCGGTCAGGCCAAGGCTGTGGTAAATGGCCCTCTGCCCACATGTGGAGTCCCCTGAGGGAATGAGATCAGAGAGAAGATGTTATTCCTGATTTGTTTGACTGTTTGTTTTACTAAGGTAATTACAATACAAGAGGCACTTCAATATTTCAGTGGAAAACATGCAAAAAGTAAACAATAACAATCTTATTTTACCATAGACATATCCTACACAGGCTTGTTCAATGGCAGAATACGGGACTCCTGCATCTGCTAGAGCATTTTGACCTAAAATACAGTAACAAAACACTTGTTATGCATCAAGATCCATTTCACAGATATTCAGATATGGTATCCTTTGAGTGACTGAACAACGTCCATGATCCGAAAGATAAGCACCTGCTTCCTTGGCCATGTCAGGATAATCATAGTCGCCTCGGGCTCCAGGCTTTTCAAACTGCAGCAAAGCACAGAAAAGTGTGACAGACGGTGAGAGTCAATCAACACATGCATTCACATCTGTTGTCCTGTTCTCAAGTAGAGGATGACTTAAACATTCAATGTTATTGTTACCGTGAAATTACATTAGATGAAACTTCAGTGAGTCACACTAATCAAGCTGTAATTGTTGTGATGAACTTGACTTGAAAATAGAGCTGAAACATAAGCAACTATTTAGTCATTATCAAAACAAATGCCAAACATGCTCCAAGTCCGGCCTTTTAAAAATAAAAAGATTTGCTGCTATTCTTTGTTATACAGCATTGTTTAATGAATACACATCTGCAGCAGAATAATGCAAAGATGTTGTCTTATACAACTTATTTGTATAATGATTTGATGTATTTGTACATCAAAGCATTTTGAATTATAATCAATGTTTCATTTTACAGTTTTCCTACGGGGGGGGGGGGGGGGCGGTGACGTCATGACCCGCCCTACTCTACATCTGATTGGCTAGCACTGTCGGTTAAGCCAATCAGATGTAGAGTAGGGCGGGTCATGTGTGAGGAGATGACCCTTTGCACAGTTTGCAACTGTTGGCCATGAACTATGGACTCAAAAGAAGTACATGAGATCCAAAGCAAAGTACGTTCAGCAGTCAACCCAGACCTATTGCTACATATCTTCAGAAAACCAAGAAGTATAAAACTAGCGTTGAACACAAACCTAAACTGCAACAATGTTACCTTGTTCGGGCTAACTTAGCTAATGCTAGCTGATGTTTACAATGTGTAGGTGTGACACGGATCGTGGACACTTGTTGAAACAATATGAGCACAGTTACAAGTTCATTACACTTTGACTTGTTGACTGACTCATTGCAACAAAAGACGTTTTTAAAAAGGAGCATTGCAATCAGGAGCCAACTATGCTAGCCTCAAGTCTCACGGGGACAATAAGACTACCGAGACAATAAGAATACTAACTAATAATGTCAACATTACCTTGGTCATGCCCACACCGACGACAAACACCCTGTTCTTTGCAGGTGCCATGGTTGTTTCTGTTCAGCTGGTCCACACTGAGACAGGCAGGTCTGTGAGGAGCAGAGAGCAGAGAGCAGCACCGCTGACTCTGGTTATAAAGCAAAGATCGTCTGTGTCCCAGCTGAGGCAGCACTCGGAAAGAAAAAAAACACCCTTTCTCTCATGCTGGAGAGAGTTAAGATAAAAAGTGCTCATCTTTTAAATCGTATTACATAACTTTATTATAATTACAGTTTTGGATTGCATAGATTTTGTGTAAATAAGCAGGTGTGATTTGATTTACCAACCAGTTTTTGTCATTTTTTCATCGACACTTGAACATAGTATACTACTTGAGGCTGGTGTACTATAGAGAAGCTGAGTAAATGTAAAATATTTAGTAATATTTTAAGCACCCATTTGTCCCTGTTAAATACTTTAATGTTAAATGCTTAAGTGTTGTGTAAAATGTGGCTGACCTGAGGAGTTATTGCCTTTGTGGATGGCATAAATGCTTGTACGACACAATGTCTGTTCATTTGATCATTGTATGAAACTAATTGTTTCCTGCTGTATTTTTTTATTGTCTTAATTCTATTTTATTTAAGGTGAGGTCTACTGCATGATACAATCTATCCCCGGCCTAACCACTATACGTTGATAGCAATTTCTAGACAGTTTACGGTACTTTGAAATGCTGACAGAGTGAGAGATCTTACGTTTCTTCTGCTTCGTCTCCTTCGTTGACAGCAGTCACCGATCAGTTCTTTCCAATCAGCTCGTGTTGCTCCTCTTTTAGTTTTTGCTAAAGAGGACATATTTGCTCAGTCCAGCTTCATTGAATATATTTGGGTTCATTGGGACCCACAGCTGTAATAAGTCGTTTTTTTTGACCATCTCACAGGTTGGTTCTGCTATAGTAGTGTGGTACTACATGCATACTGACCATTTAAAGTGTGCATAGAAAAAGCTCAACTCAAAAAATGTCACCTTTTAATTTTATTGAGGCAGTGGGAAAAAAAAGCCTTAAACATGTTGATCAATCCAAGACGTGTATGGACAACCTGTGGTTTTAATCCACATCTGTTAGTGTTCATCATCATCCAAACCTCGCCACCTCAGCACCTGATGCATCCTTGATGGCCACTAAGAGACCAGAGGATGTTTGGCTGTAGTGTTCATTCGCCCACCTCAGAGGATCTTCACTTGATGACATCAGCACTTGATAAACTGGTGTGTGACCTCATATATTCCCACCGACTCCTTGACCTCCTCGTCGTAGTCTGTCCAGTCCTGAAATTTACAAAATGTGTGTTTGTCAAGTTGCACAGATGAAAGAGGCCGTTACATTCTGTACACACTGTTGGGATTATTGACACAAAATAAACAGAGGTACAAATGAATGAAAGAAGCTGCAACTAAGTAACTACTAGTATTAAACTTAACACAAATGAATGATATACAACGGTGCAGTATCAAAGGTTGAAACCCTGTTGAAAGTCAAATATTCTTAATGAAGATATTCTAAACACAAACTGGCATATCTGAGGGACAAGTTCCCTTTTTAAAAAAGACAAAATGTAATACACAAAGAATTCAGGTAAACAGCAGCACATAGCATTTGTAGGTAGTATGATACACACATACACAAATAATAAAAAAGATTTAAAGACAATTAAGTTACAAAAACAACTAAATCAAAGATATCAGGGAAAAAGAGTCAGAGTTAAATTCAAAGAGAAAAGGAAAAAAGCTTAGGGTGTGAATTAGAGAATTTCTGTTAATGAATGAAAAATGTAGCATAAAATAATCCAATGTTTTAGAGCGCCATCGACTGGATTTACATTGTAAATGAAAATATACTTAAGATGAAAAGAATAAAGAAAGCTTGTGGCTTTAAAATAGTGGAACTAAAGGTCTGTCCAAAATTTGTGGGATATTTCACAATCAGAAAAAAAAGGAGAAACTTTTTCTGTATCGCATTTAGAAATGGTACAAGAAACATCAACATCTGTAAGTTTATCGATAAGATAATTAGTGGGGTATATTTCATGTAAAAGCCAAGCCCTCCTCCAGTGTATCTTCTCAATCTTAGACTTTCAGACACACTTGCCACTAGGTCCAGTTTTATTCTTTCTTTGGAAAGTTGCGTCATAGTATCGTAGTGTCATACCAGAACTGAAGTTGTTCCCACTGCCAAGGACGTAGCCAGCGATGAGGTCCTCAAGGTGGGGACCAAGCTAACTATTTCCTAACGTGTCCACTACCTCTCTGAAGCTATGCAAGCTGAACAGACAGATATCAATAAACATATCTGTGGTGGTGACAATGAGCAGGGTGAAGTGTGAGAGTGAGTGTGTGTGTGTGAGAGAGAGTGTGTGAGAATGTGTGTAGGAGAGTGTGTGTGTGAGAATGTGTGTAGGAGAGTGTGTGTGTGAGAGAATGTGTGTAGGAGAGTGTGAGAATGTGTGTGTGTCCAGTGCGCTCTGTAAGCCACAGCACAGTCGTGTTCACTGCCACAATTTTACACACAAAAACTACATGAAATCTAAAAAGCTACTTGATGATACATGTACAGCATTAGAAGATATTATTGAAAGCTATTTGATGTTGTCTTGGATTTCTACAGTTGATGATGATGATGATGATGATGACGACGTGCGGCTCCACAGCTGAACCATAAGCATCAGCAGCATACAGTCCGGCGCTCTTCTCTGCGCTCCAGTGGCGGGGATGTGATGGTGAGACGTCTCTGATGAAATATTGAGCTGAATCTGATTCGAGATGACTGTAGGACAGGTACACTTTTCTTGGAATATTATGACTTTATTCTTGACTTCTCAGAGAACAGATATACAAAGTTTGGGACATGAGTCTTGCTGCAACTCATATGAGCCATTGAAGTCCAGGGATTAATAAATGATGTAAAATGAATGAATACATCATTGCCATATGAACTATTATAGAGATTACAAACAGAAGACACAAAGGAGAAGGGAGACTAAACCTACGTGTGCTGACTGAGCAGAGATAACATTAGCCCTGAATGAAAATACTTGATCTACAGGAAATATAGGAAAGCAATACAGAATGCCTGAGAGTCTTACTGTAGCCTATTACATTTTGAATTGTCACCTGCCGCCTGAATTTTCCTTTACATGAATTCATTTCCACCATAAATGACCAGTTGTCACCCGAATGCAGGAAGTTAAGTGTTTGAAGCTCACTAACTTCTAAACTCTGACTACGACACTTACTTTTTCTTGCAGGTTAACTTCAGGAAACTGTGTTACAGACTCGGCTCCTTGTGCAGCGAAGCCAGCCTGGAGTGGGATAAATAGAAATTGAGAGGAGTCGCATAATAATCAAATATTTTCCAGATTATGGAGTTTGCAACCTTAAGTAAACTGTCTGACTCAGGAGCGTAAATACTTCTTTCAACAGCAAATGTCTTGACTTGGCTGGAAGCACCAGGCTCAGGCTCTTGGCGTCATCGTTAATGTTATCAGTAACACCTGTGCTTCCTTTACAAGTGAAAATACTCACTTGAGGTTGGAAGTCAATGGGCTCCAGACCGCGACACTCAAACTGCACCATTGTCTTGAAGTGCTCGCTGTCCTCTGCCTTCAACCCAGCAAACATACAGAAAGAGACACAATGTTAATGGCTGGAAAAAAAAGAAGCATGAAAACAGACTGGTGCCATGTTAATAGTTTCAAAGTACAAGTAGACGTTTGCTTACATTATAAGGTTTGATTGTGTCTCCCAGGATATCTGTAACACAATTACTTATGATACTTCCACCAGACCTTTTACCTCAGAAAGAGACAAAGTGAGTCAAATGGAATGTCAGCTCTTACCAATTGAATTTTCCCTGGCACAAAGTTTACACTTCTGCACCATGCTGACACTGCTTCTTCCTCCTTTTAGTGGCACACTCTCCTGTGGAATAGTTTAGAAACAAACAGGTTGGACACTGTGTGTGTGTGTGTGTGTGTGTGTGTGTGTGTGTGTGTGTGTGACAACGTGCCTAACTGTATGGACACTATAATCTCTTTACCTCTAGTGTCACATACTGCCATTTATCTGGGATCTCTCCACAGTTTCCACACTTCAGCTACGTTGAGGGGAAATAATGAGAGAAAGCATTGCTTGTGTAAATGAGACAGAAGGTGAGAGAGACTGTGCCACGTCATAGGTAAACAGTGAGAATAGTTAGCATGCTAGCTTGACAGCCACCCTACCTTCAGAAACCAGCGGAAATCGTCGCCCAACGGTCTCACATTAGTGACGTTTTCCAGAGTGGCTTTGAACTGGAGACCAAATTTCTGTCACGATAAAAACGAGAGGTTAAAATTTCCCCAAACTTAGGAAAACTGCTTCACTGTTTACATCAGAAACAACACATACCACCATCTTGAAGCTTTCCCTGCTGCCTTCAGGTACTCCTCGTAAATTATGGCTTCTGGGGCGTAAGGGACGAGTTTTTATTTATTTTTGTAGAAATCGAGCAGCACAGCTTTGCTTTAGTAATAATGTAGCTGGGAATGAATTTGGGAACACGTGGATCGTGCTTACAATGTATATTAATATATTGGTAGTTTTAAACAGCATACATGGTATGTCTTCGCATAACACCTAAACCATCACACACATCTAAATCGCCACATATCCGTTATCACTTTAAGGGAGCTTAACTCCAGTCAATTGTACCCTCTAGTGGACACAATAAAAGTACATTGAATGACCTACTTATTGGCGCCCCGTGCAACACTACTTCACAGTGAGAAGTCTTTGTTCGCATAACCACAAATGATACATTCACACATGTATATTAGTCACATTAAAGCTTATTAACAAATAATCACACATCAGACAAAGACACTCGGCTGCATCACTTTATTAACCATTAAGGAATTGTCTCATTGTAATAAGTCATTCCACAGCCTACAGTACAAATCTCCTGGTACAAATTCATTCATTCATCTATACACAATAAATACAGCAAGTGGAATACAAAGTTGATTCGAGAGTTTATTATACCTTTAAACTGGCTTTTAGCATGGATCCTTACTGTACATGTTAACCTGAGGCAACTTTGCAGAGGCATTGTGGTGGGTTTTGGTGGTTAATGGCCACACACCTGGGAAAACTAATACTGCTGTGGCATTGAACACTCTTTTCTGGCATTTGAAAATGTTTTTTCCAACCTGAGTATATACATATCTTAATCGTATTTTCAAGGGCTCTCTCATGAATGCTAGTCTATCCATTGAAAATTAGGAATATTTAAGTAAATCATACATCCATATTTAAAGAACCATCTCATAGTTCTCATTAACAAAATAGTGCTTGTGTAAATTAGTTTTGATAGGGAGTCATCAGCACTGTAATTAATTAGAAGGCGAGTGTATCCCTAAAGTGCAACAGTACCCACACTCGACTGGGTGAACACAATGGTCAGCTGAACCTCCCAGCCTTTGGCTTCATTGATCTGGATGTCACATGATTCTGCACCTGACAATCAGTGCTTAAAATAATGTAGCGTGCCGCTGCTGCAGCAGTCATTGTACAGAGTCAGTGTGGTGGGTACTTTGTAGTAAACAGAGTGAAACACAAGACGAGGGGACTTAAATACCAAGAAAAGCATTGGAAACACTCCCAAGATTGTCGGTACAAATACAGAGTGCAATCCTGGTTTCTTTAACTCATGTTGTAATTTGCATCCTTCTCGTCTGGCACCCAACCAAACATGTATCAGTCTCCCCTGCTGTTAGGGATTCAAGTTTTATCAGAGATTGCAATAAAGAAAAAGGGTTGCCCTCTTTTATTCATTAGCGGCACGATTTACCATGGAGCAGCAGGGGATACATAAAAAACAAAATGTAATTTGGGAGGAAAATGCATGAGGTCACTTTTAACCCATGGTCTCATCACAAGAACAACAACTCCTCTTAACACGCTGACAAAAAAAAAATAAAAATTCCAAGTTCAATAATTACAATGAAAGTACCCAATAACAAGAGAAGTCATAATAAAAGGCATTTCAATTCTTTTCGCATCTCTTTTTCCCTCTCTTCCAATACAAGAATGCCAACAGGCATTCTTTACAGCGCAACGCCTCCACACCCCTCTCCGCCTGTGAAGAGAGGTGTGACCAAGTCAATGAGGCCGGCTGCTGGACTCCGAGGTCCGTCGCTGACGTGGAGTACTGTGGCCGTTCGTGCAGCCGTTAGTGCAGCCGTTATGCCGCTTGCTTTGTCCGCCGTTCAGAATGTCTTGGATGTGCTGTACTATCAAGTTGATGGCCACTGCAGGAAATGAGGAAGACAGATGTTTACACAGAGCACCCCACCGATTTAGCATTGCACCCCTGTAACATGTCAGACTGCTGGAGAGATGAAGAAAAAGTGTCTAAAGCAATGCGGCAGAACCAAAGTGCCTACATTACCTACAATGCAACTTTCTAGTCAGACATTTTGGTGATTTATTGCTAATAGCAGCTAATGTAGCCTCAAGCCATGGAGCTCAAGTAGCAAGGAGGAAGCTACAGAGCTCCAATAAGCTTACTTCATTGTTAATACACATCCCCAGATATTTCTCATTTTAAAACTTGTAGTCTTCAAACCCAACCGATGACCAATAAAAATGTAATGTAGGAGTAGTGCGTAATAACTGTCCATACCAAGGTTCTCTGCTCCTCGTGGAATAATCACATCTGCATACTTCTTTGTCTAGTAGAAATAAAGATACGGTCACAGTTACTGGCCAAAAAACATTTGTGATGATCAGATGCACTTATACACTGCACAATAGAGACACACAGATACTTTGTAGATTTTTAAAAAAAATAAATAAAATAAATAAATAAATAAAATACAATTGTGACCTAGATATGAACTAATTCTACAGTCAAAATTAAAACAGTGCTGTCTGGTTAAACAACACTTAAAACAATTGTGCCTTTGGCCTTTCTGTACTGCAGGTTCTTGATTCACAAGAGCGGACATTAAAACCAATATATCTGTTCCAAGCTAAAACTGGCTGATGATGCTGGGCACCCCAGTGTATCAGTTGGACTCATGCACAGATGCTTGTACGGTGGGAACATCACTTACTGGCAAACAGAACTCCTCAAAGGCTGGTTTGACAAAAGTGATGTACTGAGCCAGCACTTGTTCCAGCTCTCTCCCACGCTCACTGATGTCTCGAAGAACTGAAACGACACAAAAATATAAATACCGGACATTAAACACAACACAAGTTAAGGGGTGCAATGCTCTACACCCTCTGTGCATTAACTCAACTCTCACAACACACCTCGGCGAGAGAGCCGTGTGTCTGGATCTGTGTCGACAAACAGCTTCATCTGGAACAGATCTCTGATTTCCTGCGAGTAGAACATGAGGATGCCCTCAAACAGGAGCACGTCAGCCGGGTACACCGTAATAACCTCCTCTTTCCTGAAACACAGATTTCTTCCTCTTTGTCAGTGACTACATTCAGACATGTGGCACGTAAATGTTCCAATTACACAATCAAGTTAATCGGGAACTGGTTCAACACTACCATTAGTGGTAATCTATTCTGCTAGAACACAATATTGGGTGTTGACCAAACAGCAACTGTGAAGTGTTACAGATAGGTGCTCACCTGGAATGAGTGACAAAGTCATAAACTGGGATCTGGACAGTCTCACCCTGCAGGATTTGTTTGAGTGTTTGCTTCATCAGCTCACTGTCAAAGGCATCTGAGGAAAAGAAAAGGCAAAACGCTCAGTTGGGATCTTTGTGAGACGTTGTGTAACTTAGTCCCAGTTAAACCGGCTTGGTGTGCGCCAATGCCCATGTGGGACCCCACACTGCACGTTTGGTAACCCAGGAATCCCTATCCTGTATCAGGTGTTGGGTTCAGTCTCTGAGCAGCTGCCTCTGAGAAAGGCCTGCTGACTGTGGGGAGTTAAAACCAGCCGAGAAAGGAAGCAGGAACTTCAGAGGGCAAAGTCAGACTCCAAAAATGGAGTTTATGCTTCTGCCAAGACGCAGTGATCATCAACATGGCAGCAATGCATGCTGCTGAACACAAGTCTGATTTAAATGTTTTATGTCATCTTGGTAAATTGCTTATTTGAACTTGCAAGTTCTTGTAATCTAAATCTGTGTAGTCCTAAAGCAGCCTCAGCTGTTATTGCATCTCTTTTCATACAATATAAATTTGGGTTAAGTCAGGTAGGTAGAGAATTTCAAAACCACTAACCCACAGTGAAACTGCACTTGCAGAACCTGGTTTCAAATTATTCGGTGCAAATGAAATCTGTGATATGGAATGGCACACATGTGCCTGCTGCAAACCAGCAGAGGGGATATATATATCCCATACACTGTGCATACCTGGGTGATCAAAGTTGAAATGGCCCTTAAGTGCTTTTGCCTTCTGCTCTGCAGTCAGCACCTTGTAGAAGCTGTCCTGGCTGAGGATCACCACCTGCCGCTGGTGGTGGACGATCTTGTTCTGGCCCAGCAGCTCCATGATCTTCTCACACACGGACGACTGCAGAAACAGACAAATAAAAAAAAATAAAAAAAGATAAACTTATATGGGTGTGTGGTTAAAAATCTGCAGGAACACCAGTATTTCTCACAACCGTCAACCCAAATAGGAGTAAAAAATATATGTTTCAATTTAGTCCAAATTGAATGGAATTAAGACTTGTGTTACACAGACAATTGCATACAACCAGAAATAGGGTGTGTGAGGTCAACTAACACAATCATAGGTGAAATGCTTAGCGGCCCACCATGTTTGTCCCCACTGACCTTCCCAACCAAATGAATCTCAAACCCAGAGTTGACTGGGCATTCTCCCGTTAACCGAGCCTCTGTTGCCTTTGTGTAAATGCAATTGTAGTACAATGAATTTGGACCCCCCCTACCCCCACACACACCCACTTGATAGCGGGTAGGTTGTGTCAACACACTCAAATGCAACAATTTCAGAGGAACAGACAAATCCACAGACATTTAATAAGGCAATCTACAGCACAATGTTTTATGCTCAAACTCTAGATTGACAATCCATAAAGTGAGTCAATAAATAATCCATTGTTATTTATAAAGTGAAAAGCAAGCATTAACAGTAAATCACTTCCACAAAGGCGGCGCTTGATGGGGGTTTGTAGTCTATTATATGGCAATATTAGTTTAGTACTGTAAATAGGGATTGATGGGTTAATTGATGCTTAGATTTAGCAACCCGAGTCTCTAAACTTTTGTTTTCATTACTGATAGAAAAAAGAAATGCTTCTCTGTATTCAACCAGAACTGCCGACCCATCCTTAAAACCCAAGCCTCAGCGGTGAGGCCGACAAACATAGTATCTGCATTGCTGCCACGTTGAGCTAAAATTGCTGCTAAAATTTCATCCAATCCATGAGCAGTCACCTTACGACTGGTGTAGTCTGGGGTCAAAACAGTACAGACCACCCTTCCTTTAGTACCTTGTGTGGGGGCTTACAGGATGGAAAACACTGGCTCGATGCCAGTGCAGAGATATCTGGGACAAAGTTGGGAGGGGCTTAACCAGAGACAGCAGAGTGGAGGAAAAGAGGAGATTGTCTGCCCTCATATCTAATTATGTGAACCTACACCGCAAGTGAGAGCAAAGATCCCACGGTTTGTTTCTGAATGCCACTTAAATTGTGGTCGTCACTTACAAGCTTCTATGTTCAAATAGTGCCTCAAGGTGCGGTCTTTGGTGACACGGAAAGGTCGCAAAATACACCTGTTCATAAACAAAGAAAACTACATCATAGAAAATATCCACATCCGTGGAACATGGGGGGGTGTGTGTGTGTGTGTGTGTGTGTGTGCGCGCCAGTGACGTGCACCGTCGCCTAAGTTATGCCACAGTGACGTGCACCGTCGCCTAAGTTACTGTAAAAGGCATATCACATTTAACTAGCGGGTGAAAACTAAGTGTTTGTTGAAGCTTATTTCAGCTAATTACATACTAAAGTAGACTTATAGCATGGTCAACATCTTTGTTCTTTTAACGTTACCTAATCAGAACAAAGAACGTGGACGCGATGGCAAGACACATCTGTAGAGCCTGTGTTGGTTAGGACTATTACACCAACAACTAGCTAGATCATGTTAACCTTATTTAACGTTAGCGGTTATCCCAGGTCACACCGTCAGGTGGCCTAGAGACTAGCTAGCTCTCATTGTCTAGCTACCGTTAGCGCAAACCGGTATAGCTCCAATGTGATGGAATTTAGCCGGGCAGCTAACTTGGCTAAAGTAAGCTAACGGCTGACAGTGCTTTCCACGTGGTCCTGCTAACGTACGAAATGGAAAAAATTAACTGAACAAACGCGAAATTCAGTCACGTTAACGTACAACATGCTATGTTAAACGCAGACCAAGTAAAGCCGGTGCTAGCGGACGGTTAGACAGATGATAGAGCTGTCAACCAAAACTCAAACGTTGAGCGCATGGGGGTTGAGTCGCTGTAGCCACGCGGTCACCGACAAACCTCTGCCGTGAATTAGCTCAAAATAAAACAACGGCAATTCGCAAAAAAAACTATCAAATTAGCTAGCTGGAGTGCCAACCTTCCCGCTAGCGGTGCCTCCGGAGACACCGATGAGAAAAGGTTGTCGGATAATGTTGTTGGTGTTCTCGACACGGTCCTTTGGGTGAGTTTCGCTGTCCCCGGCCATGCTTGCAATGTATCGTCAGAGCTGCTGTGCTGGAACATAAATGAGGCGGGCTCTTCCCACAACGCCAATGTTCATTTTATGACATCTTCGACAATGAATCTACATATTTTTTACATAAATTTATTTACATGTATTTTTTTCAGCATAGGTTGACGTTAAAGTTTATATTCGATTAAATAAGTAATTTGTAGCTATTACCTTTATATTTCTTTTTTTTTGTGATTGACAGGGAAACTATCCAACCGTCCGTTACGCATTGATGGCTGCTAGACTCCAGCAACGGTCATATTTCACTTGTTCCGCCTCCTGGTTGCTCAACAGCAAAATCATGTCGCGGACCGAACATTAGCGTTTATGAACATTTATTTACGTTAAAGTTAGAGTTATAACCTCAAAACACGCACCAGTTGGGAAGACGCTTGCAAGTAAGTTTTTGCAGAGTTAAAGACAATTGTGAAACATAACAAATGACAAAGCGAAGAAAAAGAAGTCTGCACGTTAACAGTTTTATACACTTGTCGCTAACTTTAAACTGTTAACCGTTAGTCGCGTGAAACTCCTTTTGACGTTTTCTAACGTTAATGTTGTCGGTTTTGTTTAGTTAAATGAAGGGACGGTGTTGCATTACGTTTACCAGCAGCATGAATGTTTTCCAGTTAACGGCTAAACTTCAAGCAAAAGAGCCACTTGGAGTGACGTTATGCTCCAGAGGCTCGCTGCGTCCCTGCGGCTGCCCGCTGCTGCGGCTCCTCTCGCGGCGGCGGTACGATGCGTCTCCTCGGGGTCAGTGGACGTCAAGGCCCCCCTGAACTTCTGGGCTGGGAAGAGACAGACGAGTCCAGAGACATGTAACAAGGAACATGTTTACGAACCTGCAACAGGTAAAGCCGCACAAATATTGACGCTGTCAATAACTGGACTTTGATTATTGCTGTGTGAAATGTCTGTCTGGTGACTTTTCTGATAGTCTGTTTACATTATATATTTTCCATTTATGACATTAACTTATTCAAGGAAAGTCAACTTTGCACACATGTTTTTTTATTTTCAGCAACACACTCCTTTACATGCTTGTGCACATATCCAGTCACACATGGCCACAATCTTGTGCAAGCAGTTATGGCCCCTGACCAGCTTCAGTGGGCAATATGGCCGCTCCCTAGCTACTATAGCTTTTGTGGTACACTGCAGATTTTTCAATCTTATTGATCTTAATGTCTGAAACAAGGTTCTCTGCGCAGTATGCAGCTGAATCAGGTGCTTCTCAGCTCGAGGTCAGCAAACGTTCAAGGGGAAGCCTTTAATTCTGCAAACAGACTAACATTTCAACACGACTGTGTCTTCATCAGAGTCAATATGATGGTTTTGATTTTTAGGCTCTTTCTGGCTTGGTTCCTAGTTTTAATGCAGACTCCATTTGAGCTAACGTTAGTACACAACTTGTGTGCAGCCCACTCTTCAGACAAAAGTAAGGTTCTTATCTTATCACTCATCCCGGAAAAGAGAGTGTCAATGCCATGCTGCATTTAGTATTTTACAGGCCTCGACTTAACTTCCGTCTTTATTAAAGGATGACTTTGAACCAGTAAAAGCTAAATGAACAAGCATGTTTTATACTTAACCTGTGTACCTCACTGTAGTCACCATCACGTGTTTCACTGTGCAGGGCGAGTCTTGTGCCATTTGGAGCCGTGTGGTGCTGTGGAGGTAGATCAGGCTGTGAAGGCTGCCGAGTCGGCGTTTGGCCATTGGAGCAAATTGTCTGGGATGGAGAGGGCGAAGATCATGATAGAAGCTGCTCGTATCATTGAGGTGTCTTTCTGTTTAGTTCATTTGCTACCCCTGGTTTCCAAAATCATTCAGTGTGTCTGTAATTTGACAGAGGTCCTCCCAACATTAGCATAACAAAGATCTAAAGAGTAGGAATCACTATCCATTGTGTATATTTAATGTGAAAAAAAAAAATACCAGAGACATCTTTACTGTCTCACCATTTGAAGAGGTCAACACCTCAGCAACACTTGTAGTATAAAGAACTCAGCTGAACTAAACATTCATGAAAGATCTTGTCTAACACAAACAAAAGGTATTACACTTACTCCTCTCTCATGTTCAGAGCAGGAGAGAGGAGATAGCTGAAATGGAGGTGGTCAACAATGGGAAGTCCATCACAGAGGCCCGTCTGGATGTGGACTCTGCCAGACTGTGTATAGAGTACTATGCAGCGCTGGCTAGCACCCTAGCAGGTTGGTACATATGCAATATATTATTTACATTTACACTGTCTGCACTTTCTTTTTAACTAAAAGCTTAAAAATGTCACCTTTTTTATACCTGTTTTTACAAAATACTTTTGCCTTCTTTTTGTCCAGGCCAGCATGTCCAGTTGGCTGGAGGATCCTTTGCCTACACCCGCAGGGAGCCTCTGGGAGTGTGTGTCGGCATCGGTGCTTGGAATTATCCTTTCCAGATCGCTTCCTGGAAATCAGCTCCAGCCCTGGCCTGTGGTAAAGGATACTACTAAAGTTTATGTTTTTTTTTTATTCAGCGGAATATCTCAAAAACTACCTTTAAGGGATTCAGTGACATTTCTTAAGAATTTAGAAAAAGGTTTAGGGGTTTTTGGTTTGATAACACCACAATGTCCACATGTTAAAACATTCATTTAACTCCTCAACAGTAAGTCTTTACAGTAGGAAAAGGTTTCACGGTTTTGGGATATTGGATGAATCAGTTTGTTTTTTGTTTTTCTTTGTCATTTTTCTTTAGTTGGTCTCCAAATTCTTTTAGGTTTGAATTATTAGGCTTATAAACTGCTACAACTCACCCCCTTAAACTTACTTTGCAATTGCAGCCAAGTTTAAACGCACATTTACTCTTAGCAATCCTGAAAAATGTAAAGGCTTTTCACCTGTAGATGGCACTACAGCAACATAATGTGTTTTAATGGTCACATCCCAGTGGTCATAAGTCTGTTTCTTTGCACAAATTGCATAATTTTCTGATGTAATAAGGCCTAACATTCCAAATTGAAGTATTATCCTAAAACCACAGCTGATGTATGTGCCTTATTGTGCTGACTTGACATCAGTCTGATCTCTGAGTGCTTTCTCGTTGATTCGATAAGTCAAACAATGGGTCTTACTCTGTTGTCTGTCGTCTAAAATAGGCAACTCGATGGTGTTCAAGCCGTCCCCAGTGACGCCTGTGACAGCGGTCATGCTGGCAGAGATCTATGCCGCGGCCGGAGCTCCAGAGGGGCTGCTGAACGTGGTGCAAGGCGGCCAGGAGACCGGCAGCTTACTCTGTCACCACCCAGACGTCGCCAAGGTGTCCTTCACCGGGAGTGTGGCCACGGGCAAGAAGGTCAGTGCTATTTACACGGTAGAACTTAAAAATCGACACACCGGGTCAACTTTGACTGGTTTTAATAGCGCAGCGTATTAAATAGTAAACACAACTGATTGATTCCCTAGATTTAGGATTTGTAGATCCTAAATGTGAGCAGAACAATCGATGGTTATTCTTCCATGTGACCCACAGATTATGGAGATGGCCTCTAAGGGGGTGAAGCCGGTGACTCTGGAGCTTGGGGGGAAATCTCCTCTGCTCATCTTTCAGGACAGCGATCTGGAGAACGCTGTGAGGGGAGCTCTGATGGCCAACTTCCTGTCTCAAGGCCAGGTAGATGTTGTATATTTTTAATATGCTGACACAACATGTGACCCATCTACAAATTAAAGCATATTATATTTGATTTAAATGTAACAACAGGTCTGCAGCAATGGTACAAGGGTCTTTGTCCAGAAGGATATTCTGCCTGAGTTTGTGGAGGAGGTGGTGAAGAGGACACGGGCCATCCAGATAGGAGACCCACTACTGGAGAGCACACGAATGGGAGCGCTGGTCAACCGGCCACACCTGGAAAAAGTCCTCTCCTTTGTTGATCAGGCAAAGAAAGAGGTAAGACTCGTCCTAATAATTAATTTTGCTTCTTGTGCAGCAACTTTAATGAGACCTTTTTGTAAATTGTTCTGTTTGGAGGGAGCTACAGTGCTGTGCGGAGGTGAAGCTTTTGTACCATCAGATCCCAAACTCAGAGGTGGATATTACATGACTCCATGTGTATTGGGTAAGACCTCCATGAATACAGTGCATTCAGATGATGCACATTTTTACTCTTTGGTACAGTGCTGCAACCTATTTTACCTCTTTTCTAACTCTGGCTGCAACATCACAAAGATTTAAGGGGATTCATCTTGACTTGAATACAGTCTGGATAGGTGACTTTGTGTGTTTGTCTTTTTCTTTTGTTCCTCGTTCAGGCGACTGCACAGATGAGATGACCTGTGTGAAGGAGGAGATCTTCGGTCCCGTCATGTCTGTGTTGTCCTTTGAGACAGAAGAGGAGGTGCTGCTGCGAGCCAATGACACCACCATGGGTCTGGCTGCAGGAGTTTTCACCAGGTGAGGGCGACCTCACTAGTAAATGAGACTTTTGAACCATGACTGTCTTGAAACTTAAAGAATCTAGATTTAAGTTGAAGGCAGCAAAATGACCAATAGTTTCAGTGAAATGTAACAATTGATAGATGTGTAAATATTATTAAAATGAACACAACTTGTGTAGGGACGTGAGGCGAGCCCATCGTGTTGTGGAACACCTCAAGGCTGGTTCCTGTTTCATCAACAACTACAACATCACTCCAGTGGAGGTTCCTTTTGGAGGCTTCAAAATGTCAGGTACAGACGGACCAGAAGCTAGACGCCACTGGCCTGTTATCTATTTTTATTAAAATCATTTTAGTCTGCTTGAAGCACTATAGAGGTGTTATTTGTGATATGTTTCTTATACATCACCATCACAAAATAACATCAGTAGCTAATCTGATCATTGTTTGGAGTACTTCCTTTTATTCCTTGTAATCTCCACATTCACCAGGCATAGGGCGCGAGAACGGACAGGTGACGGTGGAATACTACTCCCAGCTGAAGACGGTGTTTGTGGAGATGGGAGACGTGGACAGCCTCTTCTAGGACACGCTCATCGAGAGGAACATGTGACAGTGACCCAGAGACTGAAACCGACGGTCTGGACCAGAACAACACTTCAGGGAAAGAGCTCAAAGTGATGAGGAACACGCCTGAATCAGAGGAGCGCGAGTCTGTACTGTATAATGTGAAATAAATGTAATACTGAAGCAGTCTGCAGCAACTAGCTGTGTAGAATAGCAGGAATCTTAAAACACATTTGAATCAAAGTTATCATGTGTGAAATGGATCAAATGACAGATCATTGCTGAACCTTGATTGATTTCAGCTCCACTGTGATACTGTGATCATTTGCACTGTATGTTTTCTCACTTGATATATTTTGTCGCCCATGTGCAAAACAACAGTTTTACAGAGTTGTACTTCACAACAGAGAAGGGTTTACAAGTCGAGCTGTATTTCTTGATCAATATATTTTTATAAACACAAAATACAAAACAAATTGAGCCCCTTGAATGATGTATTGATTTAATTAATCAAGATTGTTCAGTTCATTTCTGCTTTTTGTACAATGTTGTTTAAATTAGAACTAGACAGTAACATCCTGCCTGGTGGGAAAAATAATTATGTACGGAACCAGTCTTGACACATTTTCATGTCAAATATATTGTAACATAACATAAAACTGTGTTTAACATTTCAATAAAATGAAGAAATAATTCATGTTTGTGTTCACATTACTGTCGGAGCTTTTGTTTTGTGTAATGTCTAAATCCTTCTTTTCTTCCTTGACAGATTTCTGGCAGCTGCCTTTCTCTACGATAGACAAAAAGAAACAATCACCTGTCAAGTTTGCATTGTATCATATATCATATTCTCTAAAAATTATTATAACAATTGAAATATAGTGATCCGTATGAGAGGTTTCCACTGTGTAATCGTGCCTCTAGTACAACTATACCTTTGCGAGGGGTCTTTTAGGTTTCTTGAACTGTGCAGACTCTGTTAGAAGGAAAAGTCAACAGTGTAAACCTTTTGATGTATTTTCACAGTTTTGTAACAGTAGCAGCACAGACGTACCGTCTTCAGAAGGTAGATCCTCTTCGTCGTATGTATCCTCACGAGGATCCTGTATCCAGACAATTATAACAAACTTACAGCAAACTAACCAGCTACAAAAATAACCTTGTTACATGGGAGAACTGACAAAGACTGATCAGGAATGAGCTAGATCTTTCTGCACCCACCGTGACCGTTTCCCTCTCTCGAGGATTGCTCTGAGAAGCCTTCTTGGTCTCCTTCAGATGGTTCCCTTCTTGAAGCTTCTCCAGCCGGCCTTGTTCCGCTGACACACGCACTCTCAAGGTGTGAAATGCCGTCTGCACCTCGCCCACCTTGAAGTGCACAGCCATGCCTTCGAACCAGAGGCTGTCACATTCGCCCTCCTTGAAGCCCGGTGGTTGGTAGTCAGCTGGGGTGACTTTGAAAGGAGAGCAGGAGGAGACGTTCACAGTGTGCGACCCAAGAAATGACGCTAGTCTTAAGAGACATTATGACATCTTACCGTCGTCATAATAGTAGAGCTTCATGGTGAGGTACACGTCGTTGGGGAGGACATCCAGGTTCTGCATGAGCAGGAAGAGCTTCCTGATGAGCAGCACCGAGGCTCTCTTGGTGTCCTCCAGCGTCACCTGGATCTTCACATCGTTGTTCCTGTGGTTTCACAGAGTCATCATCACATATGGAGGCTTCATCCAACACATCTATGCAAACATAGAAACTCCATCCAAACCTGAGGATGTCCATCTCTGGTCCCTTCTCAGTGTATTTGAATTTGAACTGGTAGGACTCAATGATGCACTGCAAAGGGAGAAATGTGGAATTACGATTTGACAGAATAGTGTGTTTCTTTTCAAAATCTTAAAATCATTTTTCAGTATTTTCGGGGCCAACTTACATTTGGTTCATCTGGATTGGTGTAGACCTAGATTGCAAAAACATGTACAGAGTCACTGCTCTGTTTTGTAAGCAATGTGTTAACTATAAATGTTGCTGTAGCGACTTAATTTACTTACCCCGATGAATACAATCTGGAGCTGTTAAGAGGACAACATTGAACAACAGTTAAAAAGAAGTAGCAGTATGGATCAAAAGATGAAACATTACAAATTAAAAGTGTTCACGGATGCACTTACAAACCGCTTCTCTAACGCATCAAAGCAGCCCATCATCCTGGAACAGAAGAGATTAAACAGGATGAAGACATCAGCTAGGAAAGGAAATGTCCTTCAGCCACCTAGTGCTGATCATCACTGCCCACTTCCTACTCATGGTGCTCAGCTAGACCAAATCACTGCTGTGTGTTTTGGAAGCATTAGAGCAGGAATATTATAGTTACCATTTAACAACTTTGCTGGCACCAGCGGTGTTGCAGTCCTCACGCAAAACTTTGATGCACAAATCTGGTGAAATGGCAAAAAAACAAAAAAGGTTTTGAAAAACCATGTATTAGTTACTGATAATAAGCAACGTTTACCACCATCACCCTGTCAAGTTCTGTAAAGTTATACTACTTTTGCTAGAGGTCTAAACTGTTATTTTTACAGGTTTCTAGGTTTCCAATAAGGCTGCAATTACTATGTTGAAAAACACAGTTAAAAACTAATGAAATGTGTAAAAACGAGTCCTGATATTGCATTAGGTTTATTCTTATGAACATGCATGAATGTTCCTTATTTATCCTAAACTATATTTATGGTGTTTATGGTCATGTGTGGTCATCTGTGGTCACCTTCCAGATATCTGGATCTGTAGGCATCCTCTGGAAAAATCCCCCTGAGGTAGGTGATGGAGGAGACCGCCACAGCCATCATCCTCTTCACGAAGACGAGGGACTCTTGCTGTGTTTTCAAGTCCTTCAGGAACAACCCGGTCCACTTTAAAACAGATTTAAAACAGATAAATAAAGACGTTGAGAAACAGGAGAAAACATCTTGACTAAATTGGACTTGAAAACCACACGATGGCGCAGTTGTCCACGTCAAGTGTCCCCCAGAGACTTGATAATCATGATAAACATGGATTTATAAAACGCAGAAACTCGTTAAATCAACTCATAAACATGTTGTCGTTTGCTTGTATGTGTTGTGTGGTCAAACCTCGGCTGTTTCCTCTTTAGTCTTCCTGATGCACATCTTCCCAGCGGCCATGTTCTTCTCCTCTGGAGCTGAGGGATCTCTAAAGCTAACGGTTAATTAACCAAATATGACGACAGGCTACACCAGCATCAAGCTAACGCAGAACTAAACTATAATGTCAGTAATGGCACCTTTCCTCACATAAATATTGTAATATGTTGCTCTATGCGGTCTTGAAAAGCCTATCTCAAGTCTAAACAGGTTTAAGTTAAAGTTCAGGTTAAAGTTACTCAAACGGTATAATTACTCAAACATTAGCCAGGATATCGTAGTTGGTCTTTCCCGCCAAAAGTATCGCCGTCTCTCTCTACATAAATGACCGGAAGTCCATTTGTAAATATATATTTAATAAGTCTTTATATGACGTAATCATCAGGATTGAATGAATAAGATATTGATATTACCTTTCCATGAGACAATAACGGCTTTTTCTGCACTTAATCCACTTCCATGAATTAACATTAACATCCAATTTATTAATTTAAGTTAAATACTTTATGAGTTAATTTACTACCAGAGGTACTTCTCAGTTAGCAGCTCTATAGCAGCAACAACACAGGTGTAATGAATGATATTAATGGTGGCCCGGTTTGATTTAAGGGTGCCAGTCAACAATGCACAATACAGGGCCCTGAACACAGTCATGATTTATGATTATTCATTTTCACCCTATAGCAAGGAAAAACTTCTGCTGTGAAGTTTTATAATAAAGAATAAAAGTCTATCTCTCAGGGGTCTTTTCAGGTGAAGTTAAAATGTGGGGTGGAGCTATGTTGAGGTCACCGAACTACATATATTTAGAAAAGTCAAAGTTAGGGGTTGTTCTGTCCCAACAGGTGAATTAAAACAGTAGAGTTGAGGAGATGTCAATCAAACCTGTTGAGTCGACGCTCATATGCGATAGTAATGAGGACTAATCAGCCAAATTAAGTGAAAACACCTGTGTGTGGCAGTGTGCAGGAGCATTTTGTAAACAAGTAAGCATCTGGTAACCTGTGAGGGAAAGCTAATGTATTTTAAACTTCACACATTACTCAGTGTCGCAATGTTTTACATGGACATAATTCAGCACAAGCCTCAATCTTATTTAGGATACTTAAGACTGGAGGTTATCTTCCACCTTTATTTTTATTTGTTTCACTATGTGTTGTAATTGTTCACTGAAGCAATAGTTGTAATAAATATAAAATAATCATAGTACCGCAATGCTGTGCTATTTTGAAAGTACACAAAAAACATATACCTGACTTGTTAGATACTGCTAACACCATCAAAAACATCCCAACATTCCCTTTGTGATGTTTGAAGTAAATATGTTCCTTTAGTACAATTATTAACTTCTTTATTTCCAATGAAAAAAAAAAAAAGCACAACATAATTTAGAGATGTGCTTGTGGCTTCATTTGTATGTTAACAATAGTAAGGAATGACATGAAAGACCAAACAGTCATTTAGCTCAGCCTGACAGTAAAAATAGCATACATTACCACAACATAATTACACAATGATATACTTTGGTCATAAGTGCAATATTCACTCTACAGACGACTGAACACACACACAGCATGTTGACAACAGAAACTGTCTCCTAACTCCTCCTCCACAGGCACAGCGGCTGGTTCTCTGGAAATGTAATCTCTAAATGTAATCTCCTACAGCAGGCTGCAGACTCTGGGCTTGTTACTGCTTGGAGAAGAAGTCTTTGCTCTTCTGGACGTCAGGTTTGATGGTGTCACTTCCTGGTTTCCAGCCGGCCGGGCAGACTGAAAAGATAAGCCTGTAATGAGTCCTGGCCCGGTACAAAGACGCCTGCCAATATGACGCACATATACAGTGTATATAACCTCTGATGCCTTTGGTTTGAAGCAGGGAAATGCATCAAATGTTTGGTCTCATAATGAAATGTATTGTCCTCCTTTCTACATTAATTTCTCAGTTCACATGAACATCAGCACTGATAAGAATATTAAATATTGAATAAACCTTTTTACGGTCTTTGCCCTGTCTGACATGTATGTCGCAAAAACAATTTGAAAATTAAACTTTGGATCCAAAATAATATAATGATGATAACTTAACCTTACAGCAACAGAAGGGTTTAATGAACTAATGTTATATGCTAAAGGACACAAAAACAATACGTCACATACTTTAAAGGGCTAGTGTGTGGCATTACGGGGGATTTATGAGTAGAAATGTAATATAAAAGTCATAACTATGTTTTCATTAGCGTAGAATGAGTCCTTTACATCTACATAGAGAGCAGGTCCTCTGCACGGAGTCCACCGTGTACAGTAGCCCAGAATGGACAAACCAAACACTGGCTCTAGAGAGGGTGTGTCCACGTTGTTACGTTACGTGAAGGCCACCGTAGTTCATGCTTGTGACACTACTGTAACTTGCGCTGCAGAGAGCAAAACCGTGGTACAACCAACCGCCATCTGAATTACGTTGCACCTGAAGTAGTGTCATTACGGTAAGGATGGCCTCTGAGCGAGGCGAATGGCGTTTCCACAGTTTTGCACTCGGCAGCTCGTGTTAAAGGGAGAGGTGAGCGGAGGCCGGAGGGGTATTCAGTTGGTTGCAATCTGTCACCAGGAAGCCCTACACACTGTCCCTTTAAGGTCTGCAGTACATTACAGCAGTAACTTACCTTCTCCGTGTTTGTCAGTGAACTGAAAGGCTTGGACCAAACGCATGGTCTCTTCAACAGAGCGTCCAACTGGGAGGTCGTTGATGGTGATCTGTCTCAGGACGCCCTTGTCGTCAATGATGAACAGACCCCTGAAGTAGAGAGAAAGAGCCGTTCACGAGTCTGCAAAGACGTAATAAGTGAACGCAGGAAAGTTCATGTTGTCCCAGTCGCTGCCTGAAACGTCTTTAGGTCGGTGCATTTAATATGTAAAGAAAAGTGTGCCATCTCCCTCCAGCTGGTTTTAATGTTTCTAATCTTTATGAAACTCCACATTGTTAATCCCACCTGTAGGCAATGCCCTCATCCTCCTTCAGGACACCGTAGTCTGTGGAGATGGTGCGCCGTATGTCAGACACCATGGGGATCTTCATGGCACCCAGACCGCCCTGCTTTCGTGGTGTGTTGACCCTTTGAGAGCATAAACCCAAAAAAAAGGACACGTTTGCCAGAGTGAATCCACACAATCAACGTGTGTAAAAGGTAAAGCTTGTAACTACCATGCAAAATGGGAGAAGTGGGAGTCGACAGAGGCGGCGATGACCTCACAGCCGATCTTCTTGAAGTCGTCGGAAGCGTCGCTGAAAGCGATGATCTCAGTTGGACAAACAAAGGTGAAGTCCAGCGGATAGAAGAAAAAGACGACATATTTCCCTGCACCAAAGGAAAAGAAAACAGATACATCTATTGCGTTTGTAATGTCACAATGGACCTGCGGTAAGTACAGGCTCATTCATTCTAGTCTTCAGTAGTGTAAATGAAGGTCTATTAGATACATTGCGGGATCACAAAGCAGCAGTGAATCATAGTCCAGAAGAGAGCGTCATCAAAGCCTGTCCTTCACAGGAGACACAGGTTGAGGTGTACCTCTGTAGTCGGAAAGCTTCAGGTCCTGGAACTGTCCGTCTGGCATCACCGCCTTCGCTGTGAAGTCTGGAGCCAGATTTCCAATTTGTGCTTTGCCTGCAGCCATCTTCAGTCTAACTGGACAACAGGAAACAGGTCGATGTGTTACACAATCTCTTCTCATAATCACAGCTGTGCATCGTTTCTTTTGTGTGTACAATCATGGATAAACCGAGACCCTTCCTCATTTACAAGACAAAAAACGTCTCTTATAGAATTTTTTCTGTCTCTTATGAAAAGCACTGTGAGCTCGAGGGCTGCAACTAATTATGATTTCCACAAAACAACTCATCTGCTGATTATTATCTGGATTAATCAAGTAATTGATTGTAAATAATGAAAGTAAAAAATGCAGATATCTGTTTTCCAGAGCCCACGGTGACAGTTTAAAACCTAAGCATATTAATTCAGCTATGAAGTAACATAGAAAAACATCAAATCATCACATTTGAGAAGCTGGTGCCAGAAATTGTTTATAACGTTCGCAAACAAAATTTGATCAACTTGGTAATCAATTAATCGTCATATCAAAAGTATTTTGATAATGGATTGACTTAAAGGAGATTGTTCAAGCAACAACACCAAACATTCCCTTCTATAGTTTCTCATATTATGAATTCCTTTAGGATTTTGACTGTTGGTCAGAACAAAATATCTGTTGACATCATTTTCATTATTGTCCTAATAATCAAAAGGTGAAGCAACAAAAGTGATCGATATTAAGCACCAAGCATTTAAAATGGCAACAACCGAAACCTATGAACCTTTTCCACTTCTTCTCTTTTTTTAAATGAACAGGTATTTCCGCATATGGATATCTACAACAATGTAGTTTCATCAACAACAGCAGCACTAAACATTTCTCCTGAGATTTGAGTTATATCTCCGGACCATCCACTCTGCCATCAACCGTAACTTAGTCCTTTCTGTCAGTGGAAACTTCCAGTCAACAAAAACAAAACAACAAATGATCATTTTCTTTAACTCTCAAATCGCTACTTTTAAAACCGCGTAGGTTTTCCAGAATGAACAAGAAAATATATTCGTAAAAAACCCACTTGTTGAACTGTAAATCCTGCAGCTAACGCTACGAAACTAAAACAAAAAACTGATAGAAAACAAACTAGCAAAAGAGCATAATAAAAAACATAATTAAATACATTGTATAACACATACCTCAGTTCTTCGCACACCACACCAACAGACACAAGAGAGTGCGAGGACTGGCAGACTCGAGTGAGGGAATATATACGGAGGCTCACTTCTCGCGATACTTCTGTCAGAACGTGACTACAGGCGCCTTCAGTCGGTCCAGAGATCCAGTCTCAACCAATTTCCCACTACACATCATGACTTTGCACTTTTCCTAATGACTTTTCTGGGGAAATGTGCTCTTGTGAAACCCCATGAAATCAAAGAGGAGGAGGAGGAGACCGACAGAAGGAGTGGCCCACAGGAAACATTCTCCACGCTTCATATTCAAAGTCTCACACTTATTTATAATAATCCCTGTGGGACACCTGGCCTCCATATACTTCCTCCATCTTCAGTAATCAGGGCAACCTGAATTAGTTCTACAGCCGGTTGTGATGCACAACACTGAATCTATTAATCTAAAATAAAACACAGCTGGTTTTTAACGACTTGTAGTTCCCTGATCCAAGTTGACAGGCATGCAGGAGTCATGAGGTTTCATCATATGACCCAACCTCTTCCAGGATGCAGAGCCAGTCAGTTGTCATCATGATTAGACATTAAACAAGACCTTTACATTGCTCTCTGTTGCAGAGTGTGAGTGCCTTATCAATGATTAAATTTCCCGCTCAGGAAATAAAACCCTACCTCATAAAACCCACATTCTTTCATCTCTCTGTGAACTGACCCTCAGACATATAAGAAGACAAACGTGAGCTCACATTCTACATTGAAGTGTTTTTCTACATTATGATGGTGAATTGTTGTCACCAGAGTGCATTTCAGAGGAAACTGAGGGAACTAATTTCCTTACCAGAAACAGGAGTTCCCCATAACAGAAACTACAACAAATTCAATGTATTTATATTAATGATAGACTGTGACCATTACACTTTAAAATATTGTTCATTATATTTAGCTCCATAAGACCATTACATGTGCCAGTTTCCTCCATTTTTCCTGAATCTACTACAAAGCTCTTCTGTATTTACAGTGACACATGTGGGTGGTGCACTGTTGCAACACCTTGTACTATCCTGTTGGCTGCCGGAGGCCTTTTTCATTTCCTCCTGGCCACTGCCATATTTACTCAATGACGAGGCTGAGGAACACCAGCCTCTGTATCTGCACTGTCACACAGTTTCTTACAAAGAGAGTATGTTATAAATAAGATATATATAATTTATTAAGAACACCTTATTTTGCATTATTGCACCTGAGTCTATAACCTGGAGAGACAGAGGATGTTATCTGCTCAAACAGCCCCTCCTTTCCAGCTTCTTTTCTCCGCTGTCACCAAGCGATGTCTTTGCATGCCGTAGCCATGGGCACCGCATCAAGGGCCAGATAAGAGGGGGCCACACAATAACCTCCTGTTAGAAGCTCCATGGTGGGCTAGTCATCAAACGTATCCCCGTGTTCAACAGCCGTTTCACAATATGCACATAATTAGTGCATCTACTCCACTGCAAGGATGTTTGAAAGGCACTTGTGTGTCCCTCATCGTGGTCACATTCAGCCATGCAAATGATCAAAAACAGTTTAAACGGATGAAAAAAATTGTGAAAAATACTGGTGCTAACATTGGTTATTTAAAGCAGTTCTGTGTCCCCAAATTCATTAACATGAGGGTATACAACATGTTAAAAGGCTTCTGCGGTGGATTGATGGTGCATGCATCACTGCTGTGTGGGGTGTTCATCAAAGGTGTGCTGGTTATAAGCTCTAACACGCCCAACAGATGGAAGCAACAGATATCAAAGTATTTAAATTCCTTTCGGAATAAAATTAAATTAAATTTGTACATGAAATCAAAAACTTGAACCAGTCAAGAATGTTTTACCACTGAAATGTTCTGTTGTGTTATTGACATGGAATTAAATGAAAAAGCAATATTTGACATTTTGGGAAATGCTAATTCCCTTTCTTGCTGAGAATTAGATGAGAAGTTTGCTACACTCTTAAACATGAGAGTGGTACCAATCCCCTAACTCTCGGCAAGAAAGCAAATAAGTGAATGACCCAAAATGTCTTGTATTTAAAGATACAAATACAAACGAGCTGTGGTTTGCTCTGCTGGTGGATTTTACTGGGAAATTATAGCTGTTGCCTCTGATGATGATAATGTGAGGAGGGTTGAGTGCGGTTGTCTCAGTGTGAGGTTGATTGGATGCCAGGTCCAGACTTGTGTTGACGAGGCAGGGACACGGTGGAGCCAGCAGGAGGTGTTCAGAGGGGAGCTGGTTGATCCCTGTCCCTCACAGCAGGACATGACAGCAGCACCACACACACACACACACACACACGCGCGCACACACACGCACACACACGCACACACACGACCACCTAATTTTTTTATTATATTATACTGACCAGCTTTAATAAAACAGTTGCATACAGTCATGCAGGCCTTATCAATAATCAATTTAGGTCCAGACTTGTGTCCAGACTTGCTTGGCCTTGTCTGTCTTGGCAGAAAAAAAAGACATTTAGAAGAAAAACAGCTGAAATGAAATAAAAATGACGTGGAAAAAAAAAAATCAGAAGTAGATAAAATGTTGTTTTAACAGACTGGTTTTCAAAATTAAACCAGAATTAAATCAACTATAATCTGTCAAAAAAGAGGATTGAGATCCCAGAGAAGCTGCCTTAAATGAGGGAATACAGTTCGATATGAAAGTAGGATAAGGGGAATAAGTAATCATTTTAAAGAAAGTACAGTGGGTACGGAAAGTATTCAGACCCCTTTAAATTTTTAACTCTTTGCTTCATTGCAGCCATTTGCTAAAATCAAAAAGGTTCATTTTATTTCTCATTAATGTACACTCGGCACCCCATCTTGACAGAAAAAAACAGAAATTTTTGCAAATTTATTAAAAAAGAGAAACTGAAATATCACATGGTCATAAGTATTCAGACCCTTTGCTCAGTATTGAGTAGAAGCACCCTTTTGAGCTAGTACAGCCATGAGTCTTCTTGGGAATGATGAAACAACCTTTTCACACCTGGATTTGGGGATCCTCTGCCATTCTTCCTTGCAGATCCTCTCCAGTTCTGTCAGGTTGGATGGTGAACGTTGGTGGACAGCCATTTTCAGGTCTCTCCAGAGATGCTCAATTGGGTTTAGGTCAGGGCTCTGGCTGGGCCAGTCAAGAATGGTCACAGAGTTGTTCCGAAGCCACTCCTTTGTTATTTTAGCTGTGTGCTTAGGGTCATTGTCTTGTTGGAAGGTGAACCTTCGGCCCAGTCTGAGGTCCAGAGCACTCTGGAAGAGGTTTTCTTCCAGGATATCTCTGTACTTGGCCACATTCATCTTTCCTTCAATTGCAACCAGTCGTCCTGTCCCTGCAGCTGAAAAACACCCCCATAGCATGATGCTGCCACCACCATGTTTCACTGTTGGGATTGTATTGGGCAGGTGATGAGCAGTGCCTGGTTTTCTCCACACATACCGCTTAGAATTAACGCCAAAAAGTTCAATCTTGGTCTCATCAGACCAGAGCATCTTATTTCTCATAGTCTGTGCGGGCTATGCGGGCTTTCATATGTCTTGCACTGAGGAGAGGCTTCCGTCGGGCCACTCTGCCATAAAGCCCCGACTGGTGGAGGGCTGCAGTGATAGTTGACTTTGTGGAACTTTCTCCCATCTCCCTACTGCATCTCTGGAGCTCAGCCACAGTGATCTTTGGGTTCTTCTTTACCTCTCTCACCAAGGCTCTTCTTCCACGATTGCTCAGTTTGGCTGGACGGCCAGGTCTAGGAAGAGTTCTGGTCGTCCCAAACTTCTTCCATTTAAGGATTATGGAGGCCACTGTGCTCATAGGAACCTTGAGTGCTGCAGAAATTCTTTTGTAACCTTGGCCAGATCTGTGCCTTGCCACAATTCTGTCTCTGAGCTCCTTGGGCAGTTCCTTCGACCTCATGATTCTCATTTGCTCTGACATGCATTGTGAGCTGTAAGGTCTTATATAGACAGGTGTGTGCCTTTCCTAATCAAGTCCAATCAGTTTAATTAAACACAGCTGGACTCCAATGAAGGAGTAGAACCATCTCAAGGAGGATCAGAAGAAATGGACAGCATGTGAGTTAAATATGAGTGTCACAGCAAAGGGTCTGAATACTTATGACCATGTGATATTTCAGTTTTTCTTTTTTAATAAATTTGCAAAAATTTCTACATTTCTGTTTTTTTCTGTCAAGATGGGGTGCCAAGTGTACATTAATGAGAAATAAAATGAACTTTTTTGATTTTAGCAAATGGCTGCAATGAAGCAAAGAGTTAAAAATTTAAAGGGGTCTGAATACTTTCCGTACCCACTGTATGTATAACATAGGACGAATGAAGTGATTTAACAAATGTAAACTGATAATAATGTATGTATAACTGAGTACGAAGTGAAGTCTGTGTGTGGGTGGAAAGAGCTGATGTAAGAAGGGTGGGGACTTTAAAGGATGAGATCATAACAGATGTTGGGGTGATGTCCGAACATGTCCAGAAATGAAGGAAGTGAGAGTATCCACACACAGAAAGTTAGGGCGTTGTTCGCAGCACACACACATATAATCAATGATGTCATGTAAATCACATGCCGAGGGAGGGAGTCTTGGGGAGGAGGGAGGGGAGAGAGCTCCAAGTTATAAAAAGGAAGACTTGCAGATAGCAAGACGGGATTCAACGCGGGAGCCACCCAAGTGCTCCACGGAGAAGACACTGGAC